GTAAGGAGGGGGGGGGGGCTGACACCAGAAATGGCAGTTTCTTCTTCTTTTCCTCCTTCTTTTCCATCTTCTCCTTCTCGGTGCGTGGCTGACGGTGAGTTCTCATTGGCTGTTACAGGTGATGGAGGCGGAGCACACTAAGACGAGAAGCGAACTGGTGCACAAGGAGACGGCGGCCAAATACACGGCAGCAATCGGCCGCATGAAGCAGCTGGAGAAAAAACTCAAACGCGCCATCAACAAGTCCAAGTAAGAGCTCAACAACCACACCGACTGCTACTGTAACTGCTCATTAATGCGGCAGAGAGGGAGGGAAAGAGGATTAACATGCACTCAGACAGCCATATTGGAGCTCAGCAGCTCTAAACAGCTGGTAGCAGTGGTACTTACGTAAAATGTGGCTGTTCTGGCAGTTTTAGGACAATGTTAAAGTGAATAAAGTTGAAAGATTTAAGGGAAAGTCCTAGATTTCTGACCATAAATAAACACATAATCTTTTTTTACAAATAATGCCGCTTTATCTCAAAATAGTACTTTGACTGACAGCAACGTTTAATGACTGTAAGATATCGTCATACATTCAAGTTCAAGTTCAGACTTAATTTAATCATTTCGACTGAAACTGCGTTCTTGTTGTTTAATCTAATCTGCTTCTTAGCTAACTAATAATCAAATATGGACTAGCAGACGAGGTTATGTATCAAATAGAAGCTAGTGTCATTGTGTATTTTTAGTTTCATATGATTCTGATTAGAGTGTTTTGTTCAAGCTAATGTCATTAAAGACTACAGTTTAGGTCAAATAGTCAGATTTTTGTCAAATGTGTTTTGGAGCAGTGGTTCTCAACCTTGACTAGAAAAATGGGAAATATTTTAATTTCACAATAATTGAATTGACTAGAAGTAAACCCACTGAGAGAATGTATAAGAATGATTATTCTGTTCACAGGTTTTATATACTTAGCAGATCAACAGTATAGTGTACTATTTTGTGTATTTAGAACTAAAAGTACCTCCTCAAACAGTTCATATATACTCAGAACATTACTCATACCGCAGTATATTCCAGCCTGGTTTTATATTTGGCCATTAATGGTGTTCTTTGCCGGACCAGCATGTGGTCACAGCGAGGTGCCGAGCTGCCAGCCCGCGACTGACTGCTAGTGGGTGACGTTAGCCAAATGTTGAGCTGCAGACAAAGAAGTCCCCATCAGCATAATGTCATCTGTTACAGGGGGTGTCTCACTTACACCCACAGGACTGATTATAAGAGCAATCAATCTGTCCGGCAGCAGACATTCTCTGTCCCTCCACCAGACGTCAATGAAACCAGACGATGTGGTTTCTGGCTTTCCGAACAGGTTAAGCCCAATCCATCTGTTCAACCCTGATGTGGTCTGAAGTCTTATTTTTTTAACTTGCACCTGAGCCGTTTTTTTTAAAGAGCCGGTCGCTCTTCCCCATTCTGCTGAAAGTGGTTTCTCTCTAAAGCAGTGAAACTCAGCCACAACCACAACCAACTGCTTTATTTCAAACAGTCAGGTGTTTGAGGGGAAATCTGTCACGCGGTGATGCCTCCTATAATGTCACAATGATGCGGTTGTCATAGTGAAACCTCAGCATTAATCATGTTCCAGGTGATATCTCTGAAATGAAATATAATAAATAAACAAGCACAGAATTTCCCTCTGCAGTATTGTCTCTCAGTATTTCTGTGCATGACTGGGCGAGGTATTTTTGCATTTCTCAGAGATCACATGTCCATCCTTATACAATACATACATCCTTACAAATAAAGATGCAAAAAGTGTGAAACACAGATTTGTGACTGAAAAAATACCCACATTTGGGAAAAAAACCACTGATAATTAAAAGCAATTTTCACCATAGTTGAAAGGAAGCCCAGAAAATGCTGCTGGTATTTAAAATGCAGATGAGCAGCCACATTCCCTCTGCGCAAGTTTAAAAAGAAACTGTTAAACTACACACTGTTTGCACTGCAGGGTTTCAGGTTTCAAACACCACTCAGCAAATGGATTCCATTTTTTTGTTTTTTTTCTTATATTTTATATTTTAATCACCTATTGAAAATAAAAACTGTAAATCATCTGCCCGAAAGCCCACGGACACTCGAACCTTTAATATCTCTAAACTGCCCTGCACACAAGAAGGTGACATCAAATCTCAATGCCATTATTTTTTGCCGTTTCCATTAATGGGCTGTCAAGAAGTTAATTTCCCTGTTGAGTAAGATTACGTTGGGAGCTCAGGGTTACGTTTCTGTACCCAACTTTCAGTAAAACTTCAGTTTCAGTGCTGATAAGTTACATAAGACCCTTCCTCAATAACCATGTGTATACCTTATTGCTCAGAGCCTGTGGAAGGCCTCCTGCCGTTATCCAACGCTTTCCAGAGGCAGAAGTAAAGTCAATGTACAGATGAGCTGAACAGTTACTAACATGTCTGAAAAAGTAAAGTAAAGGTAAAGTAATTAAAGTATTAATCCAGAAGAAGGTTAGTAAAGACACTCATGTCCTATGCCTTACTATTCTACCAGTTGTTTTCACTTAAAGTTTCTGAACTTTTATTATCTCTTAAGGGACCAGTGTGTAGGATTTAGTGGCATCTATTGGTGTAGTTTAGATTGCAACTCTGTCGACGATCGTCCCCTTCAAATTGTGTAAGAGAAACTATGGTGACCATGAAAGACCCTGTCTAGAGGCCATTGTTTGGTTTGTCCATTCAGGGCTACTGTAGAAACATGGTGGAGTCTGTGGAAGAGGACCCACTTACTCTGTAGATAAAATGTCTCATTCTAGTAGAAAACACAACAAATGTTATATTCAGGTGATTCTACACTAATGAAAACATACCTATAAATATTATATTCAATTTCTGCCAGCAGATCCACAGTAAATGTTTCACACAGTAA